TGGACTCAGATACGCCGTTGAAGGGATTATATAACTTAACTACGAAAAAGACAAAGGGACGTTGTATTAATAGGGAGCACAGAAATAGTCTTTGTGACTACTTCGATAGGTAGCAAGTCATCACAATGTTCCATGGTCAACAGAAGATTAGCCAGGAAACGGTTTTGCTTGGAAAATGCCATCCGTAGTGACCATGAGTGTAAGGAAATCTCAAAGGCGTCGCTGGAGCCCTTACTCACCATTTAAATGCCATGAACTGCACAATGATCTCATTAGTGTTCAATCCGTCGTTGATCTCGATAGCTCGACTGGGTAGGGTGGTTGAAGTGACATCCACCAGCACTGGTGGATCACCCTCGCGATCGAAAATCCCAGGAAACTGTAATATTCCTTCTTATAGGCCATGTACATACTTAACTTGAGAATTGTTTCGGATAATTTTTGGGTAAAAATGAAAACGCTTTCTCAATCATCCCATAGAATTGCGTACCTGCACGTTCGAAAGGGCAGCGTATACAGATCGCGGCACATTGGAAATCCTGAAAATTATGAGGTTATTTGAAGTATAGTTCTCCATTAGGGAGTTGCGGTAGACTCCAAATGGTCGTAAGGAGCATGCACTGAGCAAATAGTTATTAATAACTCTTCTGTGGACCCTACATGAAGTTTTACAAGCTTTACCTGGCTTCTTTCAAAGGCAATGCGTAGCTGACCGGGAGGTTCTGTCGAGGAGACTCTTGCTCGATGACGCGATCAATCTTTTGGTGAAGAATTGGAGTAGTGATCGGCGTTGGCTTCTTAAGACAAGGTCGTTGGATAACATCGGCTTTAATCACATATATCTATACAAAAAGGTCTGGGGAAAAATAATTCTTAGAACGAAACGGCATTACAGGGCCGTGGAGCTGAGACGGCGCTATGAATTGGAGATGGCGCCACGTAAGATTGATTCATGGCTACAGTTCCGCTTGGGTCATCCTCTTACTTGCTAAAAAGTAAGGCCTGGACAAAGTAAGTATACAGCTGGTTAGCGTAGGGTCTGCATTGCACGACAGAAAAATTAGAACTTATCAGCTCAAGTGGGCAGTTTTTTACGGAGACTTTTTTGCAACATAGGGTCAAAAACGCACCCTTTTTGAGCGCGCGTGAGGGCAGGTGAGCACATTTATCAGAATATCTTGCGGAATCAAATTCATAGGAATGTTTGTGCATCATCAATCCATCACAAAAGTGTCCTACCATTTCAGCACAAGACTGGTGCAGCCCCGTCTCGACTGATTTAACTAGGGCCACCTTTTTGACGACGATTGCGGGCATCACTTCAAAGACTTCACTGTCTTTTAAGAAAACTGTGAAGAACCGATGAGCATTCCAAATGGTAGTATTCCCTCTAACAAAAGCAATGTTAGTTTGCTCTGTAGCCCCAGCCCGACTTTGATGGCATTTGGTACACACATACGAATTTGCGCAATGAACCCAGGAATTTTCAGAAAAAGGTATAAAAATTGGGGGAGAGGTAAATTGTATTAATAATAAAAAGAACGTTCTGAGAAATTGATTTTCCATGGTAATCGGCCCCGAAACTTCCTGAACTCAGAAAAACGACATTAAGATATCCGGTACCTAATACATACAGCTCCAAATCCACGGTAATGAGGTGACGCGACGGCGTCTGCAAAACCGTGGTAGTCCCACTGAGCTAAAAAAAAAGCCAAAACGCGCGATCTGTAGTGGCCAGGTGACCCCAGGAGCATGTTGTATTGATCTGGCGTGAAAATGTCAATTGAGCACATTATTTTGATCTATGCGTGAGTTTTCAATAAAGGGCGCGAAAAAGGGCGTCGGCGGGAAACCGCAATATATAAAATCCATTGTGAAGAATTCGGTATGGTTACTCTTCTTTCTGTTGCAGAGGGGTCATCTGTGCGACTCACGCCCCGCTCTTCGCATCTCATCGCCACGGATTTTCTCCATTTGTGAGGAAAGTTTCTTGCGCACTTTGTGTCGTAAGGTTCAGTGGAACCATCGCATATTTTCTTATATTGTTCGCTCGTTTTCTGTTGTGTAAGTAAATAAAGTTTATTTGCAAACAGTGTGCTCGTCTTGCGCTCGGTTTATAACCGGCTGTTATACTTACATTTTTTTGCTTGGGTGCAACCAAATATAACTTGGGGGCCAAGCCAGTGCAAATAAGTGAAGTAGTGCCATAGCGTTTTTTTTACGTCGTCGTTTTTTTTGGTCAGCAGCGATCCCTTGGTTATTCTCGAATGGTCGCTCGCTGTCGCACTCACTGCTAGCAAGTAGTGGCTGTCCGAAGGGAGAGCCCAACTTGTTGAGACGGTGTGGGTCAGGTTCCTGCAGTAGTTAGGAATCGATAGTGGTGCACTCTTTTTTGTGAAAGGGTCAACGCTGCCCAATTTTTTTGGGTCAAAGCGGTGCACAACTATTGAATGCTAGCGGTCGGAAGAACTTGGCATCACACCAACCCTGACGTTGCGTGCGATGACGTCAGTGGCGTCGAAGGACGCAAGAGTGTTTGATGTAAACACACATATTGCATTGTTATTTCGTATCTAAAAAGCTTTCAAAGACAGAACGAAACTACCATATAACCGATTTGGAGGCGTTGAGCATCGTGGTAGCTTTGCGGAAGCTCCATTTCTTCGTGTATGGTATGCACGTCGTGGAACGGATTACCTCCCCCTCACGGTTCTCTTCAAGAGGCAAAACGTGTCCGCGAAGGTGCTGAGGTGGGCGCTGGAGGTCTAGCAGTACAAGCTTAGCATCGAACACGTGAAGGGCAAGCAAGTGCCGTTGTCGCTCTTTCGAGAGAACGAAGAGAAAAGGCAGATGAAATACCCAATCCGGGAGAAGACAACGCTGTTTGCTCAAATTCCGAAATGGTCGAATCGGAGTGGCTGAGGGAGCTCCAAAATGATGAGGAGTACGGCATAATCTTGGAAAATTTGAAGGCAAATAGACTGGAGGAGGAAGTGAAGTTAGTCGGCATGGCCAAAAGATTGGGAGTAGCTGACTTCATGATAGAAGAAGGCGCCTTGAAGCTGTTGCGAGAAGATTGGACAACAGCGGTTGTAGTGCCGAAATCAAAAAGGAAGGAAGTATTCACGGTGGATGTCTCGCAAAACATTTCTCGACGAGAAAATGTGTCGAATACTAGGAAAGAGGGTCTTGGTCTCCCATGGAAAAGGACATTGCGAAGTGGGTGCGAGCCTGCAGGAAGTGTTCCTTATCGAATCCCAAACAAACGAACACGCAGCCACTGAATTCCTTTGTGGCTGGGAAACTTTTGATTGCGTGTGTGCTGATATTTAGAAATGGGTCTCAGTGCTAGTGGTACGAAACTACATACTAGTGCTGGTGGATCATTTCTCCAAGTGGCTAGGCGCTTACCCAATGAAGGACAAGGCAGCGACCTCGGTGGCAGAAGTAGTATTCCAAAGATGGGTATGCGAAGGAGGTCGCTGGCAGAAGCAATTGCACACGGACCAGGGAACGGAGTTCGTGAATGAAATGTTCGATGAGCTCGCGAAGATTTCAGGCATCAAGCACACTGGCACACTGTCACAAAAGGGTACAATTCCCGAGAGAACGGTGCAGCAGAAAGAGCGATAGGAACATTGCAACGAATACTGAAGAAGAAGATAGATGTGCCGGAAAATTGGGATTTGATACTCCCTAATGCAGTTTTCGCATATAATGTGACACCGCACGAAGGGACTGGCGAAAGCTCTTATATAGTCTTGACCCTGTAATTCCTCTGAATTCGTTGTCAGAGAGTAGAATTCGGCTGAGTGAGATCGACCTTGACGATTACAAGACCAAGCTTGTCCGCGGTATGCGAGTAATTCGCGATGAAGTTGCTCAGCAGGCGGAAAAGTACCGAGAAAGAATGAAGAAATACTATGATAGCGAGAAAGCAGTGGATAAGTCATATTTTCCTAAAGTAGGCGAAAGAGTGTTTATGAAGATGCCGCGAGAGCGGAGCCACGCGAAACATCCTAAGCTGGTGTGTGAGTGGGATGGACCGTACCGCGTAATTGAGAGGAGTGAAAACTCAGCGCTGGTTACGAAGATAGGCATACGAAAATCCAGTTAGGGTTCAATTTGATCTTTTGATAAGGTTTCCGGACGGAATTGGTAATGAACCAATGGAAATTATAACTAGGCGAAGGAGAAGCAGAAGGCCTAGAGAGAAAGGGAAGAGAGATAGCATGCGAGAGTTTGCCTGTCGAAGAATATCAGTACGCGAGGATTCGTTTTTCAGGTTGGAAAACGACTATGACGTCGATTCTTTGATGCATTTTCTTCACGTTCGATTCAAATGCGACGGTCAAAGTTTCCCGAGTATGACGGGAGGCCTGGTTTTCGTTGTCATCTTATCGCTGTAGTCAGAAGACTACCGTTTCTGATCTCATACCGTCCGTGCCCCCTCCAGCAGCAGGCGAAAGAGTCCAGTGTGTATTGGATGCGGCTAGTTCTGGTGCGGCGAAGGATCGATTTCGTGTAAGATTCAGAGGATCGTGAATAGTAGCTATCTGGCTTTGAATCCAAAATCCGTCGCTGTTGCTTACTGCAGTAAAAAGTTGTTGTTCACATGTTGCGTTAATGAGTGGTATGGTCCCTCCAGGACGCTCGATTCAATCACACCATCTTGCCCGGTTGGCCATGGGATACGAGCAGGAATCATACATGGATGGCACATGGCACGCTCGTTGGAATGGTCGACGACATCGTCTGTGGTGTCGAACGCGGAATGAGCATGCCAGAACGGTCATTCTGGTGCCGGATGTTTTGAGAAGATTGACCTTTTGCCGGAAAGGGCCAAGGACTACTCTGTTCTACTACAGGTCATTTCGTGAAGTCCGGCGGAATAATAACGTGTTGTTCGCTGATGAAGTTGGAACCGTTGTGTGGGTGAATGCCGCCGAGGGAACCTGAGGACGCTTATTCGTGGATTCAGTTCACTGCAGCGGTTGACCTCTGGTTATCCTGTGGAGCGCATGTTTGGATGGTGAATGGGCTCCGCTCATGCGACGACGGTAGCTGGAATCGTATGAATCAAAGGGCGCGGACCCACATTCTTGGATATCTTCATGATCATGTCGATTCTGTTCAACCATGGCACGATCTGTTGCCGGAGGACGTTGGAGTGCTAAAAGCCTCCATGGCATGTCTACGTGTAGGACCAGTGGAAGACCCAAAGAATTGGTGGGAAGTACCACGCGCAATGAATTTTATGATCACTTCACGAAGCAACTCAACATTTGCAGTCTCTCAAAGTGCCTATGTCAATGAAAGTGTCTGGAGGACTGGCACGTACAGTTAGTAAAATAGGGAGCGGAGGACCGCTTATAAGAGACGGCAGGATCTCAAAAAGGCATCTCGAAAGAGTGGAGATGCGCCACGGAAAGAAGTCGCCAAAAGCTGATTGCTCGGGGGTTACAGCACCTCAATATCAGATCTGAGGACAGATCTGCGATGGAGAGGGGCATGTAGTGGCCAGGTGACCCCTAGAGATGTTGTATTGATCTGGCGTGAGGTTGTCAATAGAGCCCATTATTTTGATCTATGCGTGAGTTTTCAATAAGGGCGCGAAAAAGGGCGTCGGCGGGAAACCGCAATATATAAAATCCATTGTGAACAATTTGGTATGGTTACTATTCTTTGCGCGACTCACGCCCCGTTCTTCTCTTCCCCATTCGAGGAGAAATTTCTTGTGTACTTTGTGTCGTAAGGTTCATTGGAACCATCGCATATTTTCTTATATTATTCGCTCGTTTTCTGTCTGCAATTAAATAAAGTTTATTTGCAAACAGTGTGCTCGTCTTGCGCTCGGTTTATAACCGGCTACTTGCATTTTTTTGCTTGGGTGCTGCCGTGACCAAATTAACTGATCTCGTCAACGTGTTAACGCTAGCGAGATGCACAAACCGTGTCTAACTCATCGCATGCTTGAGAGCAGTTCCGATAATTATAATTTAAAAATTTTCTCAAGTATAATTTAGAAATTTTCTCAAAGCCAAGATTCGGGATAAAACAACACGTGGGTGCGGAAAGCGTTTAGTTACGAAGCTAGAGGTGGGAGGTGGTCTGGAAGAGAGGGAAAGCGAACGAAAAAAACCGAAATGCGCCAAAAATCACCATACAATTCAACTTCGCCCTGGATGATACGGTAAGCGGCACTTTTATCACCGAGCCAGATAGGATTACGGTATGGCTTTATTGACAGCGCCATTACGGTTCACTTTCGCGGTCGACAACCCAGCTGGGCGATTCGCAGCGTGAGACACCTGCGTGCAGGCAGTGGCGCTGTGTGCACTCTGGGACGAGAAAGGATAATAGGCCAGAATGATTGTTCCGGTTGTTACGGAATGCAAAGGATTTCCCCGCATGACTCCGAGAATGCAGTGTGCTGGTTCACGCCTCGCAAAGCAGTCTGCAGGAAGGATGATATCGAACTGCAGCGCTGACTTACCAGACCGAGAGCCCCCTGCCCTTCCCCGTCCATTCGGAGAAACTCCTCGACACCGGTTAGAAGAGTGATCCGTGCCGCCCGTTCGCGGCGTTCGTTCTGGTTGACAATTCGTCAAGTTATCTTGAGTCACTATAGCGCATACGTCACACGGCCTCCTTTAAAGAGCTGAAAACGCTAAATTCGCTTCTGCTGCCTGTTCTAGGGACACTTAATTTTGATTACGTAAAGAAGCCGAAGGAAGAAATCACTGAGTACGCACCTCAGCTCCTCTCACTCTAGGCGCACCTCAAGTGAGGGTCCAGGCGTAGTAGAGAGGCGCGTACAATGCGTTGATGTTGCGCTCACTTTTGCCGTGAAGAAGGCGCGCCAATGGCCGCAAAGAGCTTCGTCCGATCTCGCCCACACCTTCGTCAGCATACTCCCCCCTTCCACTGCCGTTTGCGGGGGCTGCTTCCCATTGGGGTTCGATGTTATTGGTATTGGAGCAACTAGAATTAGGCTTGTGAAACTCGTCCAATGCGCCCCTTCTTCATCCCAAGGTGGAATGCTGCTGAAATAGGCTAAATATAAATAAAACCAGGTTTGCTCCACCCGCTATCGCGCGCATCACAGGGTAGGGGGAACCACGGAATAATAGCATGACGTACTCGATTAACCACCTCACTATTGAATATGTTATACCTCCTTATACCCCTTCTCTCCGGCGCATGGCAGCGCCATGTTCTCCTGCCCTTTCTCCTCTCCCCTTCCCTCCCTCTTTCTCTCTCCTCCCTTACACTCTGCTTTCTCCTCTCCCCTCTACCGCCCGCCAACTCCGGCTGCCCCGGCAGCACCATGTAGAATGAGGCTGAGTGTGCTCGTTCGGTGTTTTGTAGCCATTGTGGGTGTTATCACAATCACCACATCAGGTTAGAATAATACGTCAACATGAATATAGACCTTACTCTCTGAAAACGGTCGTTCTCTCTCAGTCTCTCCTCCCCCACCTCCCCCTACCTTATACCCTCTCTCCGGCGCATGACAGCGCCATGTGGCACGTAACAGCGCCATGTTCCAACTTCCTTTCTCCTCTCCCCCGTACCTCCCTCTTTCTCTCTCTCTTCCCCTCCCTCCCTTCCAGCCTCCCTTTCTTGCTACCCCTTCCCTCTACCCCCCCCCCGCTCATCCGGCTGCCACGGCAGCACCATGTAGAATGAGACTGAGTGTGCTCGATCGGTGTTTATATAGCCGCTGTGGGTGTTATCATGATCATGACATCAACATCACGAAGTGTTGCCCTTCGTACTCCCTGGTTTTGTGAGCGGTTGGTCCGGACGGACAGAACGACACACACACACCGACAAACCGACACACCAAACTTCTGGTTTATATAATGAAGTGATTGAGGTCCAAAAGCGCATTCCATC